TGTGTGTGTGTGTGTGTGTGTGTGTGATTGGACTTTGCCTCGATCTCTGCCGCACAATCACTGCGTCGTATGATTTGGGGAAAGCAAAGCCACGCAAGTGCCTCATGGACGTGTATCTATGGTGTGTGAGTCACAGCGAGGGAGAGAGGGGCAGACAGAACCGGCTGTATGTCCAGCAGCAAACGCTGCAGAGTGGTGGCACATAAAAGTTGGTATGTCGCACAAAGATGCTCTTCATTGGCGTCTGTCTGTGATCTTCTCTCTGTCATCATGTCACATTGGTCCAGATCCAAGCAAGCTGACATGTCCCCTTCCTCCCACCTCCCGTCTGCCAGCTTCATTCATAAGTGTCAACCACAGACGCCCCTTATCCTCATGGTGACAGATCTCTACTTCATCTTCCATATAGGCCGTGGCATTCTGTTGAGTGTCCCCCCCTCTGGCATGGGAGGGAGGGGAGGACACGAGTGCCATGCTACTGTAATTACATTAACGTCCAGCTTAGCAGTGCCACGGCCACTGACCCAATTATTCCTTTGAAAACATCCATTTCTTTGGTGTCATCTGAAATAATGCGACCTTTGAGTCACAACAAGAGCGCGGTTGAGAGTCGGAGGATGCGGCTGCGACTGTGCGACGCATGAATCCGAGGACACATAATGTCTGAGGAATGGCTTTGACCCTCTCAGGAATTCTTGGCCGAGCAGTTTTCCCGCGTTGCCTCGAACACGTTAATGATCTTTCTCCCAGACTGTTTTCCCTCAGCTGGTAGCTGCTCCAGGTGAAGTGTGACTGACAGCAAACACAAGGTGCGCTGCTTCTTTCATACCTCACACTCACTCCCACTCTCAAAACAAGATCCTAATGAGGAATTCACACGTGTAAACTTTCTCCCAGTGAATCAGTAGAAGTTTCTGCGTTTTTGGGCCTCACATGTTTGACCAGGCCACTGAGCGTGCATGGGCACATCAGCTGGTGTGTGGGGGGGCCAGACATTCTGCGGCTGCTGCTCCAGTTGTCTTTGCGACTCATCTGCACTCTTGTTTGTCGATGGCTTTTCCTTCTGCTGCCGAGTCCTCTGGGCCTCCACTATATCCTCTGTTAATGCTCTTGTCTGTTTGCTGGAAAACAGCAGCGTTTGTGCTGTCGGGACGTGGACTCCTCCTCGCTCATGTCCCTCTGCTGCTCACCTAAGAAAACACTGGCGTTCCCTCCCCCCATCAATATCTGTGTATTTATGTCCACGGGAGCAGGGGCCAGTGGTGGATATTAAATGTCAGAGCTGATTAATCATCTACGACATCTGAACGAGCGGCAGAATGCTCTTTGGCACTTTTATTGGTGCCAATCGACTGTAGATAGAACTAATGTGTTTCAGAGTGGAGCAATTATGACAATCAAAGTGTCTCCAGGGACATGAGATCATTGCTTGACGACCGGTCTTCGCCCAGTGTCGAGACATCGGAGGACTCATCTGTCTTTTGCGAGCTAATTGTTTTATCAAGATGAGCCTCGGAGCGAACAGGCTCAGGACATTGATGTATGTGAAACAACTAATTCCGGGGATGAGTAATTATCCAAAACGGACCCATTAATAGAATAAGAAAACAATGATCTCATCCTTCGCTATACATCATAATAAACTGATCATGAGAAGATTTCTGGTGTTGAACCGACAGAAACTAAATGAAACTTTCCATGGAAGCTTCTATCCGTCATATCTGGAAATCAAACAGAGAGTTCCGAGGTGCAGCCGGGCATCGGGCCTCATTCTGCAGGAGACGTGGTTCCACGTTTCATTCACAGTCTGTGTCATGAGCTCGTGACCTGAAATGTTTGACTTTCAAACTAAAACCCCTTCATTGTGCAGAGGCCGCTCACAAACCCATATGGAATTATGAGTGATGAGTCAAGCTGTGACTGATAGGACTGGTCCTACCTGTTTATACTGTGTTTATACCACTGCAACTCGCGTGTGTAGCGTCTTTCTATTTTCCCTCTGCCGTGTCCAAAACACTCACACGCACTGGAGCTCTCCTATAGTTCTTTTTTGTTTAATCTTACTTCCCAGCAAAAGTTCAATTCCACACGAAAACCAAGAAATGTTCCTATAGCAGCTCAAAGTACAGAAATCATTCATTTCAGCTTTTTGTTTCTTTACCAAACTGGACAGAGATAAGTGACACTGTGTTCCACTGTAAACAATCCAGCAGTCTGTATACGTACAGAATCCAGTCTGGTGAAACACTTTGTAACGCCGGTCTGGATTTGCTGTTAGTCGCTGCCAGTTTACCGTTTCCGGCTCTGGGGAAATGTTTTGCTCGCTGGTGACATGATATGAAAAATACAAAGAGTTGAAAATACCTGTGGACTGACGGTGAGGAAAGACAAAACTTAAAGAATAAGTGAACGGAGCAGTGTGTAGTGGAAGGGAGGAGCTGTGTAAAATAAAGGGATGTACAAGCACACATGTTCATTGGGCTCTAATCACACATAGCATTGGAAATAGGTGCGGTGAAGAGATTCCTAAAAGACAGAGATGGATTTTCCCTCTTTTAAAAGGACCTTGTGTAAAAATCTGCAAAAAAGTTGGGTTTTTTCTTCAGGAATCAAGAAAGGACGCTTAAATTCACATCAGGTATTTTAAATGACAAACGCTGAAAAGGTTGCATAACTCATTCAGCATGCCTTCTGTTTGAATCAAAAAGATCTGCCGAGATGTTTTTCTGCCCTCGGGCGATGCAACTTTAAACACACTCTGCGTTCTCAGGTGTCAGCAAGTGATGTCGAAGCCTACAGATCACAAACTTAGTGCTCAGTGTGAAAATGAGCTGACAGCAGAATCAAGAGAAAGTAAACTGACAGTAAAATAAAAACCTGCCGTTGAGAGACGTGGATTCACGAGGGGAAGGTCACTGAAATGTGACGGCACAGACGAAAATCAATTTCTGAGCTCTGTGATTTCTGGTTTACATGATTGAATGAGTGACTGTTCTGGACGTTTATGGGGTTTTTTTTCTCTCCGCAGAGTTTCAATGCTCCTCCGTGTTCTAAGATGAAGTTATGGAAAGGTGCTACTTTTGCCTTCATGCTCTGTGGTGCAGCCGTGTCCATCCTCCTCATTAGAAACATGGCCGCTGTTGGACAGTTCAGACCCAAGACAAAGTATCCACACACATCTTCATCCTCCTCAAGAGCGTCTTCATCGCCAGGATCGACGCCCAGAACCTCGCTGCCACCGACAGTGTTGTCCCGGCAGATGGGTGGTCCTCACCGGAGAACCCGCTCGGCAGATAACATGAACTCTCTTCTCACTGATTGTAAGATAAACACTTTTTTACTTCCTGTCCTGATCAAGTGTTGTGTGACTCTGTTGTTTAAAGAACAGGTTTTATTTCTCCAGGTGTCTGTAATGATGATGATGATGATAAAGATGCACCATTTTATAGCTTTCACTAGCTCTGATAATAATCTTGATAAAAATTATTTTCTTTGTGCCGCACTAATTCTCTTGCCAATAACATGTTTTCTCTGTAGATCACACGTATCTTGTATTTCTTGAGAATTGCGTGTACGTTGCGTGTACAAAGAATCAGATATAACCCTCATCGCCTTTCATCTCATCAAGTGTTGATTAATCTCCTCCTTTTCAAGTTTCCATGATGTTCCAGAGCTTCACAGAGGGCGAGCTTCAGCATGTGGTCGGCTCCTTGCTCGACAGGAAGAGAAGGAAGAGCTGGCGCCAGGGTGACAACCAGGCGCGGAGGACTAAAAGAGCGCGGAGGCCGAAGCCCTGCTCTGTGAGGGAGCTGGAGATGACCGTGAGCGAACTGGGTCTCGGCTACGACAGCGACGAGACGGTGCTGCTGCGCTACTGCAGCGGCAAGTGCACGGCCCACCGGCACAACTATGACATTACCATGGAGCACATGATGCGGACGGGCTTCAGGAAGAAGGGCCGCAAGGACAAGGTCAGTAACGGGCCCTGCTGCCGGCCGACAGCGTTCGAAAACGACTTTTCCTTCCTGGACAACAAGAGCCGCTATCACACGATACAGAATGTGTCGGCGAAGAACTGTGGGTGCGTATGACCCCAGAGAAACGGACGTATTGTTTCTTCATGCTGCTCTCGGCCTCAGGTGGATGAGTTAAACAGGAATGCTGTTAAAAGACAAACACAGAAATCTTTGGAATATAAACTCAAGGAGAGGAGGAAAAGAAGGGAATATGTTTGTTGCTGCTGCTGCACGGCGGCCATGTTTGACAGACAGACTTTTTGGCGTCTGTCGCCACACCTCGGGACAGAATCACACGGAAGACGTTTGTGAGGATTATGTGTGAAAAAAAAAGAAGACAGAAAATGACTGTTCATAAAAGTTTTGATCATCTTTTCTATCTGTGTAGTAACACTGTAAACTGTGGTGTAACAACGATGTAGCAACATTATTTGTGATATTTCATTTGAGTGGTAGAACGTGGGACAGAGTCATGACGGCGATGAGCGGCGGTGAAACTAGATTAATGCTGTTACTACATTTCATATCCACGAGACAGAGGAGGGCTCAACAAACAAACAAACAAACAAACCAAAGGACATTTAATGCACCAAGGTTTCTCTAAGTTCTGTGCGGGACAGTTTGCACCATTGACCTAATTATAGCTTCCTGTGATTAGCTGCAGAGAGTATATTGACACAGGGCACGACTGTGTTTGTTTGCATCACTGTTACTGATTGCAGTGTTATTACACAGGTATAAGAAGAGAAGTGTTATTGATGATGAAAGAAAATACTTTTTTCTATAGCTCAAGGTTTGATACCCACTTTCAATAAATGTTTTGTATATTGATGTTGTGTAGATTAACAACGGGGACCTGCGTCACAACACACACGTGAACAATATGAACATTTCTACCATTTGCTCTTCATAGTGAATCAGTCTTTTTTTAAATAACCCAGTATTACAATTACCCATAATCCTCTGGAATTGCCAAAACAAACCAAGTCAATTCAACGAGCTTAATTAATTCACACATTTATATCAGACTATTTATAAAGATGGACGACTAGAATGCTGCCTAAAGGGGACTCCAAACTATCGGGATTGATTTTAGACCTGATTTGCCTCCTCCGACGGTCGGTGTCGAGTATCTGCCCGAATAATCCTGAAGCGTGAGAAGTTTACAACTAATGTTAATACAACCAATTAAGTCGGAGACTCCCCGGATCTTGAAATGGAGCAATAACATGGAAACTCCCAAACATGTTTGAAATTCATAATAATCAGCTCGGACAGAAACACACTCATAGCTACCTGTTGTGTACTTGTACAGCTACGACTAAAACAACAACACATTTCCAACTCATGCTGCAAATGATGCGACATGAACCAGACTTAAAAAACTTTTATAAACATGTTATATTTTTTTTCTTAAAGATGGTTTCGGTTATTCTCATCACACTGATATTTGTTCTCCAGTAAATTTGGTTTCAATGAGTTATTAGATGCTATAAAAACACAACCTTGTGATTGACGGCTAGGGCTGACTCGGGATTGGTCAAGACTCGGGCTGCAAATGACTTAAAAAGAGCAAGATGGCCGCACCTACATTGCGGATATTTTGACTTCATCTTTGCACAACTTGAGGAGGTGGAGACGTGTCGTCCATCTTTATAAACAGTCCACGACTTCTTTATCTTGAATCATGAACATCTCACATCTTAAGCTCCAGGTGACAACACCTCTGTAATCGTCTCTGGTTGTAACTTGTGAATGTTCACATGCAGAGTTTCTGTATAATCCGAGGCTCACGTGTCGTCTTTACGATGAGTTGTGGCATTTTCTTTTCTCTTGCTGACAGAAAACTATGAAGTAGAGACGTGATCTGGAAATGTGTTTGCACCCATCACACCCCCTGTAACCTGCTATGATCAGAGCAGCCTTCTATTGGCCCATCGAATGCCTCCTTGTTGTTTTGCCTCGTAGACTTTTAGCGGGAAAATAAGCTGTTGAAAATTATTATGAAGCATTTTTTTCACCTTCAATCTTTATTTGGTTTGAACCCGTTGCAACTGTTTGCCTGAAGTACGATAAATTATATTGTTTTATTTTTTTCTGAGGAGGTGCAGTGCAGGGCGCAGATGCGGTGCATCTTTATTGTAGTTTATATTGTATTTATTTGGGAAGTAAATTATAATTTTTGCATATTTATTTAGATTACCACACAGAAGAGGGACAGCTTATTATCATGAAGCAACTGTGCCAAAAAATGTTTTATCTAACATTCTATATTGACTGCTGAATAAACATTATTTCAGAGTTATGGATGGTGATCACTTCTCCCAAACCTTCGATCTTTGGGTGCCAGATATTCTGTACTCATACTGTATTTAAAATAAATAAATAAATACGTATTAATGAAAGTGTTATCATGAAACATCCTGTTAATAAAGATAAAAGAAATGCTGTGAGGAAATGTGAGGATCACAGCAGCAGGAGGACGAACTGATAAATAAAAATACAAGTTACACCTTTTGTCCCGAATCTCCACTGTTGTCCGTCAACATGAAATGTTTGTCTATTGACATGAAAACAGCAAGTTTATTTATGTTTTAGTCAATACCACATTGCACACTTCACTGTGCAGCCAGAAATACTCACTGGATTAATCCGCTGAAAATAGTCCACAACAAAATACCTATTTTGAGAGACTTTTCCAAAAAAACAACTGAGCCTCTTTTGAGCCTTATTTTATAAATGGTGATGAAATTTGAAAAATTTGGGTTTCAATTTTAAGTTAGTTTTGAAAAGATAAAATAAAGATTTTTTAAAACCTTTTTGAAGGTTTTTGTTTAGATTTAAAGATTTTTTGATGAAATAAAAAAAAATTGACGGAATTTTTAATGAGATTTGAAGAGTTTTTGCTTCATTTCAATTTTTTATTGGATTTGAAAATTTATTTTGTTAAATTTGAAAAAGATTTGGTTAAAATTTGAAGAAATTTCAACGCGATTTCAAGAGTTTACATTT